TACGAGGGCTTCTGCTGATCTCTGATAGCCCAAACTGCTAGCGTAGTGTAGTGGAGTCCACTTCCTATCTTCATATGAATAGTCAACATTTGCTCCTTTCTGAATATAATCTACGGCTTTTGTTATATCATTCCCATTGACAGCATCAATTAACGCCTTACCTAATAGTTTAGGTTTAACCCTTTTGTCATTTGCGAGCTGCAATGGAGTTGTATTATTGTAATCTTTTACATAAATACTTGCTCCTTTTTTTATCAAAAACTCTACAAAGGATTCACTGTCTTTATTAACAGCATGATGTAACGGTGTCCACTTATCCTTTCCTTGGTCATCAATAGCTATTCCCTTGTCACCAATAAAGAAACTTACAATATTTACATGCGTGCGGCTAGAGGCAATATGTAAAGGTTTATCTCCATCATTAGTTGTGGCATTAATGTTTGCTTCTTTCTCTACTAAAAATTTGATAAAATTTTCATCATCTACCGTTCTGTTCGCAGCATGGTGTAATAGAGCCCAACCCTGGAAGTCTGAATGATTAATATTAGCTCCGTTACCAATATGTTGTGCAACTTTATTACGATCTCCTTGCTTGACAGAACTTAACAATGCTCTATTTAACATTAGGTTTTTTGTCATGTAATGATGTTTGTCCTCGGCTAGCTGTAGCGGTGTTTTTCCGTCAGAATTTACAGCGTAAATATTCGCTCCCCTTTCAACAAGAAGCTCTACAATATTTTCATTACCTTTCTCAGCAGCATAATGTAAAGGGGTATAATCATCTTTACCTTCTGTATCGATTTCTACCCCTTTATCAAGAAAAAACTTTACAATCTCTTCCTTGCCCTCATCAGCAGCAATATGTATAGGCTTATTTCGCTCCTTATTCTTAGTATTAAAACTTACACCTTGATCATTTACTAAAAATTTTGTTATATTTAAACTGCCGAATTGAGCTGCATGATGCAGTATCCCCCAGCAGTATTCATCAGTAATATTAAAATCATTCCCTATTGCGCTCTTATCATCTCTCCTTATACCCTCTTTTATTTCAACAGTTACCCCATTTGTTATGCAAGATTCTTCCATTTCTAACCTCCAATTACTCTTTTTAACAGAACTTCACTAAAAACGCTGAATAACTTTATCAGTCAATATTCCAAGTCTTATATATCCCAAATATTTTATGGTGTAAACCTTTATTTTAAAAAGATCATACTCTTTTATACTTGTAAG